GAAGAGGTTTCAGCAAACATTCAGATCATAGCAAGACCCTAAACTGGGAGTGAGGCCAGAGTCTTAGAATGCACATGTCAAGCGAGTTGCAAGGAAGGGAAGACAAATAGGGGAATGGTTCTGGGGAGCGGAGATTGAGGAGCTGACTTCCTGAGGTCCCCTGAGAGCAAGGGGCAGGGGAGGCACAGGTAACTAAGGCAAGAGGGAGGAGCCTGGCTCCCTGAGGGCTGCCTGGTTGAGCGCAGCCCCACAGCAAGCCGGAAGGTGCCGTGCCCGAAGGTGCTGGTGGGGGTCAGACAGGGAGAGGTCTGAGAGGGAGGCTAATTACCATTGAATATTCCCACCCTGCAGCTGGACTGGAGTTCCCAGAGTGCCATCTGGGAGTGCCTGGGATGTGTGTGGGGCAGCTGGAGGGATGGCCGCGATCTACCCAGCACCTGTCCTGCCCCCAAAGGCTGATGATGTAACAGCATAAAAATGCAGCAGAGAGCAGGGGCTTTTGGAATGCTGCTCAGAGGAGGACTGGTCCAAGTCTCCGTGATATGGCTGGGATAAGACAGCTGTTGCCTCTGTTCTGAGTCTGGAAGGCGCAGTTGGAGCCTGGGTCCGCTCACCTTAATTCCAGTCCTTCAGTTGTGGCTCACGAACGACTCTCTTTCCAAGGACCAAAAATGACCTGGGCTGCACCTGTCAGCCACAGAGACCCTCAGTAGAAATCTTCAGGACACAGGAAAGAGCCCGCCCTTGACTGAGTAGAGGACTTCCTGTTAGGAAGAGAGCATTCAGACACTGGGGGATGCTTTTTATTTTCAATTTTTTATTGTTATTTATTTGAAAGGCACAGTGAGAGAGAGAGAGAGAGAGAGAGAGAGAGAGAGAAAATCTTTCATTCTCTGATGTACTCCCTAAATGGCCAGCCCCAATATCTTTTTCTTAGCCCCCCCGTATCTATTCCACCCTCCCCACAGCCACATCTCCCCTCCCTGGTCTTCTGATGCCCTTATCAGCCAAGCACCTTCAAACCAGGCCTCCGTCATGGGCTTCCTACCTCATCGTACCTGCTTCTCAACAATGCTTCACCCCAGCCCTTCTGAGTCATTGGCCAGGATTCCTCCCAAGCACCTTGGATGTGAACTTGCCTACAGATTCTGTGGCCTAGATGCTCTGCTAACCAGGACCAGAGGGTGGGATGGAGAGTTGGTGGCACTGACAAATTTCCCTTCTGCTTCTCCATCCGAGCTCCTGGGTGGGTCACAGCATCCTGCAGAAGGAATCCAGCAGGTGCTTTCCCCACCTTTCCCTTTCCTGGTCCCTAACCCAAGCACACCCCCAACAGACACACACACACACATACACACACACACGCACACACACATGGTTGCTCTCCAAACTCTCATTGTCTTTGAAGGCAGCAGCTGAGCCTCACTCATTCACTCCTGTGCCTCAAACACACACTTCACAAGTTACAGATTCAGTAAATATTTATTGAAAGAATGAGCCTCCAACTTCCCCTGGTCTGGTTCCCTCTTTTCTCAGTGCACAGTCCTGCCAGTCGCCCAGCAGCCACACACTGCTTCTTCCCTGCGGAGCTTTGGAGGAGCCGGTCAGCCGCATGGCATTAACCTCTTTCAGTCCCAGTGCCGGGGGAGAAATGCATCCACGTCCAGGTCTGGGACGGGGAGCCAAGCACACAGCCGCCCGCCTCCCCCTGAGCCCAGAGGCCCCCGGGGAGATTGTCTCGCCTCACTCATCCTTGCTGCCAAGGCCTCCTCGCCTGTATTTATACACACTAAAGCTTCTGCCCGAATAAAACATCCATGTAAAATCCAATTTCCTCAGAGTCTCCTTTGGAGCCTGGGCCCGAGATGGAGTAGGTAACCCCGGCGGTAACCGCCTGAACCACTCCTGCTGGCTGCAAAGGTGAGGCCCATTTTTCAATTATCTATCTGCTGTGACAGCAGCGGTCCAGCCGCCGAGCCAAGGCAGGGGGAGGGGAGGGGGAGGCAGAGCGGGGGAGGCAGGAGAAGGAGGACAAGGGCACGGTTGGGGGGGGGCACGGAGACGCCCGGGGAGGGGGGCACAGGGAAGAGGCTCTGGTATGCGGCACCCAGTAGGTGCTCAGGAATGGTTTGGAGAAGGAGAGCTCGGCAGAGCGAATAGGGAGGGTTGGGGCGAGGCGAGGAGAGGGGGCGAGCTGGAGAGGCAAGAGTGGGTGGAGAGAGGGAGCGGGGACGGGAGGGGGAGGGGAGGCGAACGCGGATGGAGCCAACAAGAGGCTCCTGTGTCAATCCGTGGAAACGGGAGGCAGAGTGATGCGGTCACAGCTCCTGCCATCAATATCCTCTAATATAAATGTCAGTGATGCTATTTTCCGCGCAGTCATTTCGCACACTGCTGATTACATTAACGTATAATGGAGGGGCGCCGGCTCCACTGCTTTCTCCCCTAACCCTCCCCCCGGTGATGTGTCAATAGCCGCCTCCATGAACAAGTCAATTTTCTGCAGGCTTGGCAGCGGAATAAATCTGCCCGGCTATGGGGAGAGCTGCAGATATTTATATACCCGGCGCCTGCCTCCCGTGTGCGCGCGCGCGAGCGGGTGCGCGGCGGGCGCGGGCGCGGGGGCCGGGGGGGCTCCGGGGCGCGCCGCCGAGCAGAATGATTTCCAGCCCCGACTCAATAAGAGGAGAATTTAGAGCGGTCCCTGAGCTGGGCTCCCAGAAACAGCCTTACACGTTTATTTTCCTTAGCTGAACAGGAAAGGCGAGAATTATATGTGGATTTATAGGACAGGCGCAGCTCAACCCAAATGCTCCCGCTCCAGGGGGCGGGGAGGGGAGGGCGAGGGGGAGGGAGGCGGCGGGCCAAGCGCCGGCCGCTGGGACCCCCGCTCGCGCCGGAGCTGGTAGGGGCCCACCCCCCTCACCGGTCGCTTTAATTACATTTGTTCTTGTCCTTCGTGAGGGCGAGACTTCGGCACGGCCCGCATGGGGGTGGGGGAGGCGCAGGCCGGGACTGCCTGGAGAAGGGGGAGGGGAGGGCGCCAGGAAAGGGGACGTGGGGAGATGGGGGGGTGCTGTCAGCTTCGGCTCAGAGCGGATCAATAGTACGAGATCTAATGGGCTAACTGCCAAGCGGGCGCACCGAGGCGCTGCCCCGCTGGGGAGGGGGTGCGCGTAGGACGAGAGAAAGGAAGGGGTTGGGAGCGAGAGTGAGGACGGGGGAGGGGGAAGGGCAGGGGGCGTGGAAGCGGTGTGGGGAGGGAGAAGGGGTCCCAGGGCGCGCCGGCGGGAAGGGGCTGGACAGGAATCTTCCCCCCGGGGGTGTGAATCCCACATCCTCGCCCCTTTCCACCCTGAGCGAGAGAAACAGTCCCGGAGCTGCCCGACCCCCGGCCGCCGGCCTCTCGGGCCGCCACCGTGCAGTGGAGCCGCCAGGGGGCGGCGCGACCCCGCGCTCGCCGCGCCGATCGCAGCGCCCCGACCCGTGTGACCCGTGCCCTCCACCGCCTGACCCCTGCGCGTCGCCCTGGGCCGGGTCCAGAGGCTTCCCCGCGAGGCGAGGGTGTGCGGAGGGCAGCTCCCCCGTCCCCGCCCGCCCAGCACGTAAGGCACCAGAAGGCTGTCACCGCGTCTGGCCTAGCGCCTTGGGACCCTGGAGCGGACAGAGCCAGGGGTCTGGGTCACCGGGCCTGAGACTGACCAGATTTCCCCAGAGATAAGCAAGGCCACTGCAGACGCGGCGTCCGAGGCCGTGCGGGTTTGGGTCTTCGAACCCTGGCGGGGGAGCGCGGGACGGCCTCGCGTGAAGGGTCCTTCTGCACGTGCGGAGCGGTGCGGCCGGCCGCTAAGGAGACCGGCCGAGGTCGCTGGGGATGAAGGTCTCACGCCTCGCTTTTAACTCTTTCAGTTCCCGGCCATTGCCAGAGCCCATCATCTCCTGGCCTCTGACTATCCTTTTCCCAGCCCCAGAGACTGTCCCTCCCAAACTGAGTGAGAATCAAACAGCCGCACACCACTGCCACCCGGAGAGGGGAGTCCGGTGGTGGCCGCCCAGTGGCTCTGTGCCTGGGGGTGGGGGGAGCAGAGCTATCAGAACCACTGGGGGGGGGTGTTTGGACAAAAGTTCGTTTACCCATAGGCCCTTATTGCATGGGGTGCATATGTGCCTGCGGAGGTTAATTCTGGTCCATTCCCACGTGGACACTGTGTGAAGCAAGGTATTACTATGGCATATTTGCTCATGTTGGGTGTGGCAGCTGAGCCTGGGGGTATCTGCCCCATGCACCTGTCTGTGTATGTCTGTCATTGAGTGAATATTGCTTCACGCACCCCTTTGTGCATCGTCTCTGCAAATGTCACTGGGTACGCGTCGTCCTGTGTGTCACTGATGTCACCATCAGCGTTTGTTGAGAGCACCTATTGTGTGCGTGTCGTCTTATGCGCCCACGTCCTCATGAGAGTGAGCGTGGGCCCCACAGCGTGTTTGCATCTCTGTGGGCTCCATTGTTGGGACACAGCCATTGTCTCCATGTCATTGAAAGTGTGTGCTGGCGAGAGCTCGTGACACAAATGGAACGGAGCTGATCTGCCCCAGAAGCAAAGGCGGCAATGACCTTCTTTTTCCAATTATATCCTGGTCAGAGGTGAGCGACCTCTCCCCACTGAGGCCGCTTCTTGTCATGCAAACCGAGCAGCGGGATGGAGATTAGAGGAATGTGACCGAGTCACGTGTAAAAACAATCAGCTATCAATGGGCTCCGATCAATGCCCCAGATTACAGATGAGCCTGGGGCAAGCAGTCATTTTGGGAAAACTCAGTACACAGCCACAGACATGTCACATACCCTGAGACCCGCGTGCACTGCCACAGCCTGGAGACAGGCAGGAAACAGGTTGGGGAGAGCTGGGTGAATGAATGGCGCCCAGTCTGATTGAGGGGGGGGGGGCTATTATTAGTAGTGAGTGGTTGTGTTGTTTTTGCAAAAGATGCAACCTTTATTGAGCTGGTAGCGGGCAGTGTAAAAGCTTGTGCTGAGCGCTTTCTATTTTAAGTCTGGAGAGTTAGGGTTCTAACTGGGTCACAGCAGGCAGCGAGGGGATTGAAGGAAACTCTCGTGTCAGGAACAGGAGCACAGGAGCGGCACAGTCTTGGGCCAGCTGCGGACAGGGGGTGGGTCTGCAACAGAGGGGCTCCTGGGGACAGTGCTGAGACACAAATGTCTCCAGGGTGACAGGTAGGCTGGGGAGAACTGAGCTGGGTGGGGGCGGGGCCTGCAGGAAGGGTGAGTATTTTTTGGAGGGTGATGATGGCAGGCACTTAGGGGACTGTAAGGACCAGCTGAAGGGCTGAGACTGGGTTAGATGGGTGGACGAGAAGATGGGAGGGGTCCTGGCTCTCACTTGACTTGACTTGACTCTGGTGTTAGCTGAGCCTACCTCTGGCCAGCAGTCGCTGTGGGTGCCGCAGTATCCTATCCTCTGTGCCCAGGGGGCCTCGCTGAGGCCTTGAGTTGTGTGAGTCAGGTGTGCTTTATGGATGTCCCGCTATGCCTTACCCAGCAGGGATGCAACAATGGACAAGAATGCCCTTGGGGGTTTATAGTTTCCTATAAAAGAAAACATTTGAAATACTTTAATATCTCTATTTCTCTCTCTCTTTCTCTCTCTACTTTGGAAAAAAGTGGTGTTGCATGGGGCCCGCTAGAGGCCATAGCAGGTTAAGTGCATGCTATGACAGCAATGGCATCCCGTATCAGAATGCCAGTTCAAATCTTAGCTATTCTGCTTCCCATCTAGCTTCTTGCTGATGCACCTGTTAAGGCAGTAGAAGATGGCCCAAATACTTGGGTACTTGCCACCTATGTGGGAGACCAGGATGGAGTTCCTGGTTTCTGGCTTTGACCTGGCCCAGACCTGGCTGGCTGTTCTGGTCATTTGTGGGGTGAACCAGGAGATGGAAGATCTCTGTCTCTCTGCATTTCAAATAAATAAACTTAAAAAAAATGTTGCATAAGAGAATACCATCTGAATTCAAATCCCATTGTGCCTTTTACCAATTTCAGTTTATGAATTCTGAAACCCTCCTTTCCTCCATTCATGGAATCAGGACACTCCACTCTTAGGATTGCTGGGCAAATTTTGGTAAGATGGTTAGCCCAGTGCTGGGCTATGATGATGTAAATGTGGCTTCTGCTACCCTCGCCTTCTGTTTTTCTAGAACAGTGCCTTTGGGAAAAACCCCATCTTGTGTCAGCAGAATGAAGGTTAAAAAGGACTTATAGCTTGGAAAAGATAATGGGGTGTTTAGGAGACCCCAAGAGGTTGCAGGTTAGGGCAGAGCAGAGGCAGTGCAGGGGCTTGCTTGGGGGTGTGGGAATCCTGACATGGAGCAGTCGGGGTGGGGAGAGAGACTGTGGGTAGTACAATGAGGCAGGGGGGAAAGGTCCTCTGTGCAGACCCCAGCACACCTAGGACAGTGCAGTGCTGACTCTGCCCCTCCCCCTGCTGGTAGCCCATAGATCTCCAGAGGGCTGCCTGGGGGCTCCTGTCCAACCTCACAAGATCATCCGCGCCTTTCCTGGAGCAGCCTCTGCAAGCTTTCCGCTCCCACCACCTGACCATAGCTACAGCAGCCCCCTCTGCTGGCCTCAGCGGTACTAGAACCGGGCCCTGCCTCTGCCTGTCTCTGGTTCCTTCCAGCCGGCTCCGAGATGACATGAGAGGTCGCAGCAGGCCCATTTTATAGCCTGGGAGATGGAAGGCCAAAGAATCTCTGAACCAGGCCTCCTTAGTCAACCTCCGTGCAGACAGCTCAGCTAAATGGCTAAGCTGCAGGCTCTGGAAGTGGAGCCCCGAGCTTGAGTCTGAAGCTTGATTCTTTCATGTCTTAGCTGGTATGAACTTGGGCAAGTCATTGCGCTTGTTTAGCTTCAGCTGGAAAAAATGGGGACAATGATAGCCTTCTCCTGGGCTGGTTGTGAGGCTCAAATAGGGCAGTGCACATTAAAAAACGTTTAGCGCAGGTCACTAAGTAAGTGATCAGCCAATTCTTCAAGCATTTGCCCAAGAAAAGCCCTGCTGTGGCAGGAGTGGGGCTCCAGCCCTGGACTGCGGGCTTCTGGGGACCTTGCTGCCCAGGGTTTGCTTATGCAGATCCCAGAGCACCAAGTGCCTGAGCAGCTGCAGAATCTGCTCCTGCTGCTGCTGCTTTACAGGGTGGGCTGGGGGCCGACGAGGGTCTCCTGGTTACTGTGCAGGGCACAAAGGGTTAAGGCAGGTGGGGGTGCTGGCATGAGAGTGGGTCACCCCTCCCTTTCCACTAGTTATTCTCCTCTCCAGGTGTTTTTGTGGCTTTTCCCTCCTCCCTTGGGGTGGGAGTGGGGGCTGCTGGGTCCACTTCGGGCTTAGTTATTGTTTTAATTTTGGTGCTGGCTCCCTGGTGCCTGGAGTAGATAATGAAAGAGGAAAAGAGAGGTCAGGGTGGTGCCCAGGCAGCAGATTTCTGCCCGTCAGACGGGGCCAGGGCCGATGGGGAAGTGGGGGGAGTGTTAAGTTAATATCAATAAAGCAACTGGAGTCTCAGAAGTGAGGCGCTGCAGAGCCCAGCACAATGTCTTTGTACTCTGGGAGCCTAAAGGGGCGCTTGGCCCAGCCACAACGAATCCTGAGAATGGAGCTGGCCTGGGGGTGGGGGTGGGGGTACAGTGAGCACACGGGCTCGGTGGCAGCCAGGAGTGACAGTGGGACAGGGAGGAGCTGGGCAGAGGACGAGTCTCATCTGTCTCATGCCCAGGCCACTCACTGCCTTTTGTTTGCCATAGCTCACCATACTGTCTAGCCCGCTTCAGGGTAGCTTAGGGGAGGGTGCTGTGGGTCCACTGGAGACGGAGAAAAATGAAAAAAGGAGGCAGCCAAGTACAGGGGTTGAGATCACAATCTTTGCTGCCAGACAGACCTGGGCTACTGGCAAAGTTCTTCCTGGCTGTGTGACTCTGGGCGAGTTACCAGACCTCTCTGGGCCCCAGTTTCTTCTTCTGCGAGATGCACTAATAGTGATGCGAGCTTCCTAGGGTCACAACATTGTCTTCAGAGACTGCAGCCCAGGGCCGGGTGTGCAGTGAGTGCTCAGTCGATGCTGGCAACCCTCATCACGCCTGTTTGCCTCAGCTGTAAAATGGGGGTACCAGTTGTAACTTCCCCATAGGGGTCTGGGGCGAGGAAATTAGATAAAGCCTGCGAAGTGCTTAGCACGCTGCCTGGTACATAAATAAGCCCTCAGTACACGTGGGCTGTGGTTATTCTATTATTTTTATCTTTATTATTCCCTGCTGTCTTGCAGCTGGTGATTTACTAGAGGAGACAGGCCCGGCCACTCCCTCCCTCGCCATCCACCTGCGAAGGGCTGCCTGAAACCCAGCCTACTCAGAGGGCACTCTGCGTTGCCTTTTACAGTCTGGGTGGACAAAGAGAGGCTTCAGGAGCCAAGCCGGACCCAAAGGAGAAGGAGACACCCGCCCCCCCCCCCCACGGCCACCTCTGTCCCCAGGAGAAACCTGCCGCATCACCGCTGCCGCTGACCCGCCCCTCCCAGCTGAAGACACACCTGGGCTGGAGGAGGACGCTCACCTGTTTCCCCATGGGCAGCTCTATGGGCCTGGGGGGGAACAGGGTCCCATCGGTGCTCCCTAGTTCTCTCTCAAGGCTGGGGGTGGCAGAGAGGGGGGGTTTAATGTTTCCCACTTGACCTTTCCTCCCCCACCCCCTGCCCCCAGCGCAGCGGGCGGGCGGACTGAAGGGCTGAATGGAGCGGAGGGCACGATTTTCACATTAATGGCAGCATATGTTGTGCTTATTGACACCGCAGGGTCGGTGCTTGTGGTGGTGGTGGTGGGGGGTGCCTAGGAGGCCACAGGCAGGAGGGGGCAAGGGGAAGAGGAGGCAGAGGGGAAGGCTGCCTGCGGGTGGGGGGTGGAGAGGGGAGCCTGGGGCCTGGGGGGAGGGAGGCAGGAACAATATTGTTGCAGGAGCACACCAGGTGCTCGCTGTCAGCCGAACAAAAAGGAAGAGTCAGCAACTCTGGGGGGGTGGGGAGGCGGGAGCCACCGCCTGCTCCAGTCTTGCAGCCTCTCCCTGTTAACCCCTGCTCTGCTGGGCAGCTGAAGAGCAGAGGGGCCCCTGGGACTCCCCACAGCCCTGGGCTCTTCGGAGTCACCGCATTCCCCTGACGATCTGGGAGATGCGGTTGGGCAGTGGCAAGACTTCGCTCCACCTTCCCCAAAGCCGGAAGGAATAGCAGGCTCTCTCCGTCCTTCCCTTTCTGCAGCGGAGGGGTTTGCGCGGCCTTGGGAAAGTTGGCAAAGCAGAGTGGCGGGGGCCGATGACCTTGAGCTTCGGAAGGCAGCTGCAGGTGGGAGGCTGTGTGGAGAGGGCCTAACAAAGAGGGTGAGGGACTCTGCACTGCAAAGACCCCCGATGCTCCCTCTCCCTGCTCTGGCTGCAGATTGCTCGCCTCCTGGAAGTCTTCCCAGGGCCCTGGCCTGGGGCAGGGGGAACAGGAGGAGCCGGGGATCGGCTGTTCCTAGCGCTGGCTTTCAGTTGATGAGAAGACTGGGCTGGCTCACTTCTCAGCCAGGAAAGTTCTCGAGGCTCATCTTGGAATGGTCGGGGTGGGGGGTAGCTAGATGGCAGAATGGACTCCCACCCTGGACTCCCATTCTGGGGGTCTAGAGGGCACTCGGGGGTCCTGGCTGCGGAGCCAAGCTGCAGGTGTCTCCAGCTGTCATTGTCCTCCTCCCTGCCCCCACCCTGCCTGCAGGGAAGCAAGGTGCTCAGGGCTGCTGGGACTGCTTCAGCTTTCTCGCTGCCAGGGGAGCCCAGGCTGGGGGGAGGGGGCCGTGTGCGCAGGGGAGGAGGGGTGGAGAGGCAGCCCTGAGGAGGGGTGCTGTCCTTTTGCCTTAGGAAGGCAGAGTTAAGGCTTGTACCTCCACCCTTGAATGTTGGTCTCCCTAGAGTCTGTGACCTGGCATTCTGGAGCCTTCCATCGTTCATTCACTTCCAGCGTGGCTAGTCTAGAGTCCTCATCTTGGTCGCCCTGGACGAGTGTCCCAACTGCCCACGCTTGCACACGGGCGAAGCCCCTAGAGGGCAATGGCCACCTTTCCGTATCCTACCCTCTGGCCCCATCTCCGCCCGGCCAGCGCCGGGACCTCTGGCTCTCGCCACCCACAGCTGCAGGCGAGGCGGGCGCGCCGGTCGGGAGCCTCCTCTACGCGCTGCTCTTGCAGACACTCTGGGCCCGCTCGCGCTCCCGGTCCTCCGGGCCTTCTCCCGCGTCGCGCACGAAGCCCCGGGCCAGCCCCGCCGCGCGCCCTGGGCTTCGGGCCCGGGCCGCGCCCCCCTTCCGCGGCCCTCTCGCCAGGCTCCAGCTGCGCGCGGAGCAGTCCCCGGCTCGGCTCCAGCTCCTCAATGGCCCTGCTCCCCCATTACCCTGATGTCGGCCCCTCTCCCCCTCGGCTTTATCGGCTCTCAGCCGGCTCCGCCAGGGTAATGAGGGCCCTCCTAATTACCATTGCACAAACTCCACTTACATTAACAGCTCCATCCGAGGAGCGGCAACATCTGCTGCTCGCAGGCAGGCGTCCTCCCCCGCCCTGCGCTCCCCGCCCCTCGTGCTCCCCTCTTTCCCGGCCCTCTTCCCGCACCCCGGCCCTCCCTGGCCCCTTCCCCAATCCTTGCCTTCTAATCTCTCCTTTCACACCCTCGCTACCACCCTACCAGCCAGGTCTTTTCAACTTCAGCATCCCAGGATGGGAGAGATCCGCGCAGAAGCGACCCCCAGAGACATGATGAAGACACTCAGCGGGCTGGGCCACAACTCCGAAGACCCAGAAACTCAGGATCCCAGAAACCCAGCCAGAAAGCCCGGAGCCGATAGAAAGTGGAAGCAGCAGAGCCGGAAAGAGAGGGGGTGGGTGTCTCTGATGCCCACTCAGCGTGCAGAACCACCTGCAAGGTATGTATGTGTGTGAATGCACATATCTTGTGTTTTGCGTGCTCATTTATTTAGCATCATGTATGTGAGAGCGTGCATGTCAGTGTCTTTACTGTCATGGGTATCTGTGCATTCATGAGTGCATGTGACAAGCATTTGTGTCATGTGTACAATTATACTCCCCAGTGTTTATCTTTGTGCTTGCCTTTTGTAAGCGTGTGTCTGTGTATATGCACATCCTTGTCCATCATGTATGTAATTCTGTGTGTGTGATGTATGTCCGTATAGGATTCAGGTTCCAAGTCACGTGCGTGCCTTGTCTGGATGCCGCCAGGAGTGTGTGTATCTCTGCAGGCATGCCTATGCATGTGCGTATCATCTGTGTAATTATTCGATGCGAGTGGGAGCATGTGTGTGTGTTCCTGCTCCATGGGGGATGACAGGCAGTTGGGAAGACGCTGAGCCCGTTTTATCTGAGGTTAACAGGGGTCACACTTCACTCCTGGAAGTCCCTCACCCTCCTCCCCACCCTACACAATTAAGCCTCAGTGTGGTGGAAAGACAGCCAGCACACATTAAGAAAGGTCAACAATATTATCAGCTCCTAATCCAATTAGTTACTGTTTATTTGGGAATCCGGCTCTAGGTCAGCTTCCAGGGAGAAGGCCTGGGAGAGAGAAGCTGCAAGAAACCACAGAAGGTGGCCAGGGCTGCGAGGGAGGGGAGAGGGCCATCCTCAAGGCAGGGGCTGGGCATGCCGCCTCCTCCGGGAAGGTGGGCGCTCTGGGAAGGGGTCCGTGTTGCAGAGCAGGGGTTGAAGTCTGAGGTTGCATCTCCAGCTTGGGGTGCTGCCTCTCTCATCCTGAGACATCCTGCCTGTGTCCAGCCCCAGCATCCTTACGGGGTGTCTGGGAGCGGGATGGCTGCGTTGGGCTGCAGCTGGCTTCCCCTGGGATAGCAGAGGCAGAGGAGGACTTGTTGATCAACGGGCTGTTAGCTTTGGAAGCCACTCATTACTCCCACCCTCTATTTTATCACCCTTTCTCTCTGAGCCCCACAGGACCTTGACTACCTGCCACTTCAGCTCAACCAGGAGGCCCAGCTTAGCCCCACAGGGCCCCCAATCCATAAAACATGAGACCCACCTCTGTGCCTTGTGGCCTCAGGTAAGGGGCAGCTCAGCAGGACTGAGGACCCCAGGCACAAGGCGAGCAGGTTAGATGGTCTTTGCCCTGCTCTGACCCCCTCCAACCTCTGGAGAGGTAGACAAGACCCCAGCACCCAGGATTGGGGGAACTCATAGAAGGAAGAAGCTTGGCTGCCGCATTCTTGGGCCAGGTCACCAGGGCTCTCCCCTGACTCAGCAGTCAGGGGCAGGCAGGACCTGACCATCAACCCCTACCCCAGGCCATCCTCACACACAGCTGTGGATAAGTAGAGTGACAGGAACAGCTGTGCTTCTCAAGGAGCCAAGTACGGGGTCACTTATGCTTGTCTTGGGGTGCAGTGCATAGGCCTGAGCCCCAGGGATCGGGCCACTTGTTCTTCTTGGCCTCAGTCCCCTCCTCTCAACACACAAAACCCCCGTGATTTGCTTTCTTACTGCCCTTTCACACAAACAGTCATGAAAACACTGTCTTCTGTCTCCTCTCTCTCCCTCCTGCCTCCAGAGGCGAGCACAGTGTGAAGACATTGGTCCAAGTTCAAGGACTTACAGTGGATCTAAGGGCTTCTTTGCAACAGCCTTGCTCGAAGGGCGCTTCCCTGGTTCCACCCGCAGAGAGAGAACTGTGATGCTACCACCTCCAGCTTGGACCCTGCAGTTCTCATCCTTAGTGAGCACTGCGATCACCCAGAGAAGCTCTTTTTTTTTTTTTTTTTTTTTTTTTTTTTTTTTTTTTTGACAGGCAGAGTGGACAGTGAGAGAGACAGAGAGAAAGGTCTTCCTTTTGCTGTTGGTTCACCCTCCAATGGCCGCCGCGGCCAGCATGCTGCGGCCAGCGCACTGCGCTGATCCGATGGCAGGAGCCAGGTGCTTCTCCTGGTCTCCCATGCGGGTACAGGGCCCAAGCACTTGGGCCATCCTCCACTGCACTCCTGGGCCACAGCAGAGAGTTGGCCTGGAAGAGGGGCAACTGGGACAGAATCCGGCGCCCCAACTGGGACTAGAACCCGGTATGCAGGCGCTGCAAGGCAGAGGATTAGCCTAGTGAGCCGCGAAGCCGGCCCAGAGAAGCTCTTTAAAGGGGGACCTGCCCAGTTTGGATCTCTAGGCTTGAGCCCCTGGAACCCATATACTAATTTACTAATGACAAAGCATGGTCTGAGTTGTAGTATAACCTCCATCTCTCAGACGAGGAAATTGAGGCCCAAGCTGGTCAAGGATACGAATTTCTCCTTCCCACCCTCCCTCCCCTCTGCTTTCTCTCCCTCCCTTCCTTCCATCTCTGTCTTTCCAAGAACCAGGTCTGCTGATTGCAGGGAATCTAGTCAGTCCCTGGAATTTTAGGACGCTGGGAAGGGCTGCCTGTTGCAGGAGCTCTCTGCCCCCAAGCCCAGCCCCTTCATGAGTGTAACTCATTCCACTGCCCTGGATTAAGCTCTCCTGTTGGCACCACAGAGCGTCTGCAAGGGACAAGGCTGTTACTCCCTACTGCGCACGTGTTCCAACAGGGCCCTTGCTCTAGGTTCTGCTTTCATGTTCTGGTTCTAGTACTTATCATCCATGTCACCTGGTTCACCCTGTTGTCACTCAGAACCTCACCTGTAAGGTGCAGATAACAATGCTACTTTGTAGAGTTGAGATTAGAATCAGTGGATAAGTTCCTAGTGCCATTCCTGATCCATAGAGGTTAAATATTATTATTATTATGAAACCTAAAGAAATAACTATCGCATCTGCTAGAAGGGCTATCGTGAAAAGACTGATGATGTAGTACAACTAGAACTCACAGACCGTGCTGGCAGAGGGAGCTGATGGAGTTGCCTTGGACAAATACTTGTTGGCGCCTACTAATGCTAAACACGCACGCTCTACAACTCAGCAAATCAGCTCCGAGGTGGATGCTTGTAAGAAACGAATGCTTGTGTTCAGCAAAACCCACGCAGGAGGATGTTCACAACAGCTGGCTTGGTAATAATCCCGGCCTGGGACAACCTAAATGCCATCAACAATAATAGAATGAGTAAATACATTTTGGGTTAGCCTTACAATGGAATACGACAAAGCAAGGAAAAAGAAAGGACAACTGAAAATGCATTAATAATAAAGATAAATCTCAATGATACAGTGAAATATGTTGGACATAGAGTACCCAGTGTGTGATTCATTTAGATAAGATTCAAAAACATGGCCAGCGTCGTGACACAGCGAGTTACTGAGTGACGCTGCTGCCTACAATGCAGGCATTCTATATGCGCACAGGTTTGAGCCTGGCTGCTCCACTTCCAGACCAGCTCCCTGTTAATATGGGAAAGCAGTGAAAGATGGCCTAACTGCTTGGGCCCCTGCCACCCACATGGCAGGAGTTCCTGGCTCCTGGCTTCTGCTCGGCCCAGCCCCAACTGTTGAGGCCATTTGGGGAGTGAATCAGTGGATAGAAGACCCCTCTGTCTCTCCCTCTTTCTCTCTGTAACTGTGCCTTTCAAATAAATAAATTCATCTTTTAAAAAATTTCTATAACAAGCAAAATTAATCTATCATAATAAAAGAATAGGTGACACTGGGGAAAGTCACAGAGGATTTCTCTAGAATGCTAGAAATATGCTATATCTTAATCTGGTTAGAGGTGTGTGTGTGTGTGTGTGTGTGCGCGTGCGCGGCGTGTGTATAAAAATTCACTGAGGGGCTGGTGTTTGATGCAATAGGTTAGGCTTGTGCCTGCAATTCCAGCATCCTATATGGGTGCCTGTTCAAGTCCCTGCTGTTCTACTTTCAATCCAGCTCCCTGCTAATGCGCCTGGGAATGCAACTGAAGATGGCCCAAGTGTTTGGGCCTCTGCCACCCATGTGGGAGACCCAGAGAAAGTTCCTGGTTCACTGGCTTCCATAGAGCCCAGCCACAGCCATTGCAGCCATTCAGGGAATGAACCAACAGATGGAAAATCTCTCTCTCTCTCTCTCTCTCTCTCTCTCCCTCCCTCTCTCCCTCCCCCACCCCCCTCCTTATCCCTCTCTCTGTGACAATGCCTATCAAATAAATGCTTTTTTAGAAAAATCACTTGATTATTACACTTGACGTAAATTACACTTCAATTTTAACAGACAACTGGGCTCTCAGGTAGCCTGAGACAGATCCCTAGGAGGAACACAAAGGACTTTGCAACTCCAGAGAAGGAGTGCATCTGGCGGCCACTGCGCCGGAAGGGAGGGTGACAGGTAGAGGACAGAGCCAGGGTCTTCTCACTGGGGCATAATTGCGTGAACGGTGAGCAGGAGCAAGAAGGCTGCACAGTTTGAGACTGGATCAGGAGCCTTTCTGGGTGCCAGCCTGGAAGTCCACATTGACTGGGTGTCACAGGGTTTGAGCAGGACAGGGGCATCACTAAGTGTTCTTTAGGTGATTCACAAGGCAGCTAGGGGATGGAGCAGGGAGAGGCAGGAGCAATGCGACTTGGCTGCTGCAATGAGCAGGCCTGCTGCAGCCCCCAGGACGAGGGATCTGGGACTTCAGATGCTTCGGGTGATGAGATGAAAGGGGTTTCTCCTGCTTCTTTACACTGATCTCCTTCAATGAACCTGGATGACTCAACTAAGCAGGAAAAAAGTACGAGTGAAGGAAAAAGAAACTGGTGCTAGAAACATGCTTGGAGGGGCAGGCGGAGAAGCGGACACGGTTCTTCAGAGTCATTTCTCCAGCCCTGGGCAGGAGGAAGGGGCTGTCCCTGCAGGCCTGCAAAGGAGCAGGGCTCCGTGGGAATCTTACGGGAGGCGAGAGGTGTAGACTGATTGATGGGCAAGTCGATGATGGAGATCTATGGACAGATCCAGCAGCTTTACTCCAAAGCCATCATTCATTGAGTGCTTCCCAGGTGCCAAGTTTTCGGGTTACTGTTGACCATCAGCGCAACCCTGCAAGGTGAATGTCGTCACCCCCGTTATTGTACCGCTCTGACAAGTGACTTGCCCCAGGCTCGCCTGCAAAGCTGAGATCTGAACTCAACACGGCTAACCCTCCAGAAAACAGCCCTGTAACGGGGAGAGGCTGTGCAGCCAGGCCCTCGGGCTGGGGCCCCGACCCCCAGCAGACCTGGGCTGGACTGGGCTGGGCTTTCCCACTCCCTCCCTCTTTCTTTCCCCAAGCTTTCCTGGGGAACTTTCTGTCCTTGGACTTTCTCCCAGACCTCCTCCCAGAAGGTGGGGCTTGACCCTGGTCCCTGCCCCCATCCTAACCAACATCCCCTCCTCCACTCTCTCTCCATCACTGGTGACACTCCCCACCTGCCATCACCATCCATCATTAGTACTTTAAGCTCTGCCTCAGCCCTTCAAAGTTGCTAAATCCCCTATTTGGTTCAGTTCCACTCCAGCTCCCAGCTCCCCGTGCACGGGGGACCTGATGGGACACAGGGAAATTATACACGTAATAAAGAGTCGGTTTGCTCTGATAATTCTGATAATGATGCACATCTCAGCCCTTCCCATGCACACACACACACACACACATAAACACACACAAGTGTTGTACCCCACGCCGCCCAACCTCCGCAGCCACCCAACCCGCTGCTGCCCTGGAGCTCCCCCGCAGAGATGTCTCAAACCAAGTCTCCATCCACCCTCTGCCCCGGAAGTTATCTGGAACACCTTGTCTGTCCCCCCACGCCCACAGCACATGGCATTTACCAGCTGTGTCCTGAGGGTCTGTTCTTTTCTGGAGCCCTTAGCTTGTAGCAGGAGCAGTGTCAGTGTGGTCCACGGTGCTTGCACATGGCTGCTCCTCCGTGGCCTTGCTGAGTGAATGAATGAATGCCCACATCACTAAATCCACCATTAGAAACACATCCCATCTTGGAATATCCCCCAGCCCTACCAGCCCACACAGCACCCCTCTGAATCGCATCTTCTGCTTATACAGACACGTACCTCACCTCTGCCACTGGGGGCTCATTCCACACTCGGAGGCAGGACTACCATGAACAGCTACCTGGGAGTCTTGGCTTGGCGTGGGGGGCAAATAGGAGGGAAGATGTGTTAGGAATGGATGAGGGTTCCTGGGTGAGTGTGTGAGTGTGGGCCCGACTGCTGTGTATGGGGAGGGGACAAGTGTGTGTGTGTGTGTCACTGACAGCCCGTGGTGTCTGTGTGTGTGCCTGCATGGGTGTGCACACAAGCCTCGGATCCCCCGGACTTACCTTCTTCCCCGCCCTCTCAGAGCTATGGATAAGCATCATGGACTCTCTTTTATTTTTATTTATTTATTTATTTATTTTTGACAGGCAGAGTGGACAGTGAGAGAGAGACAGAGAGAAAGGTCTTCCTTTGCTCTTGGTTCACCCTCCAATGTCTGCCACGGCCAGTGCACCACGCTGATCCAATGGCAGGAGCAGGTGCTTCTCCTGGTCTCCCATGGGGTGCAGGGCCCAAGCACTTGGGCCATCCTCCACTGCACTCCCTGGCCACAGCAGAGAGCTGGCCTGGAAGAGGGGCAACCGGGACAGAATCCGGCGCCCTGACCGGGACTAGAACCCGGTGTGCCAGTGCTGCAAGGTGGAGGATTAGCCTAGTGAGCCGCGGCGCCGGCTCATCATGGGCTCTCATTCACGTTTCCTTGTCTCTCCCTCCCCTAAAGTTGAAGTCCTTTTAGGAGAAAGTTGTCTCCTCCCTCTCCCTACTTCTCTGCAGCCCAGGGAGGTTTAGAGAGAAAAGGTGGGGCTGGTATCTGGGAGGAGGTCTCACTTCCAGGTCAGCTTCCCTGCCATCATCGTGGTCCCTGTTCAGCCACCTGCTCCCACCAGCTTTCATCGTCACGTCCTTGCCCCCTTCTGCAACCAGAGAAAGCAAGAACCAAACAGCAGTGACAGCCCCTGAGGACTGGCGAGCTGGGACCTCCACAGCCTTCCATGTTTGCCCATTGCCCATGGCATGACTGGCGGGCCCCAGGCATGGGGCTCTGCCTCAGCCCCTGCTAACCTCTAACCTGGTGTCTCTGCTCCACTCTCGCCAGCAAACCTGCCTTCAGCCGCTGCCCTGGCTCGCTTTCCTCCAACCACTTCCCCCAGGCCCCGGCGCTTGCAAAATCTTTTCCCTAGGGTCCTCAGAGATCACTCCCGTCGCTGAGACTGAGTCATTTTCCCAAGGTGGAGCCCTCTCCTGGGCAAATTCAGGCACTGCCACAGCTTTCTGTGCCGGCAAGTGACGTGGCCCTGCCTGGACCAAGCCCCAGCCCCAGGATGGGCTCAGGAAGAGTCTTCTCCACGTCCCCTCCTCAGGCATGCAGATTGCCTTTGGTCTCCTTACACCCAGCCCTCCCCCCCGCCCCCCGCACCCTCTGGCCTCTGCTCACTTCCCCGCCTCCTTGCTTCCCATGTCACCCTGTACTCTCTGAGCCTCATCCTTGGTGGCCTTCCTCAGGGTCTGTCCACACACAGAGCTCTCCAGGCTTCCTGTGCAGGCCACAGGGCATTGGGACATGCTACTTGTTCTGACGGAAAGGCTTTTCCTTTGTCTTGTCGCCCATTCCACTCCCCCTCACTCTTCCAGCGTCAGCTCAGAGGCTACTTCCTGGGAGCAGACAAGTCTCCCTACGGCATGGCTCCGGCTGGCACTCAGCACACTTGTCATTTTGTGTGGATGCGGTCACTGGCCGACTAGAGGAGTGGGGCACAGGAGCACGTCTTTGTGCATCTCTGCAACCTCTGGGTGGGGTCTGGCCTGTGGGAGGCCTTTGATACACACTTGAAGGCTGAATGAACCCAGCAGGGAGCTCAGGCTGACGGTGAGAGAATTTCAGCAAAGCCGAATGGCACCTGCTGAAAGCAGTCCCATCAGCGTTTGAATGCCCAGGAATTTGCTGTGGCCTCACAGATGAAATCCAAAATTTTCCTTTTAGATTTTTCAGGCTCTTCAAATTTGTTTTCTTTATTTCCTATCACTTCCCTTTGCTTCCCCCCAAAATTCAGGGGCCCGTACACATGCCTTGACTTGGTTGACCTTCACACCATTCCCATTGCCTGGAAGAACCCTCCTTTCCTCTTTATCCTCCCTAAAATCCTATTCCTGGCCGGCGCCGCGGCTCACTAGGCTAATCCTCCGCCTAGTGGCGCCGGCACACCAGTTCTAGTCCCGGTCGGGGCGCCGGATTCTGTCCCGGTTGCTCCTCTTCCAGGCCAGCTCTCTGCTGTGACCAGGGAGTGCAGTGGAGGATGGCCCAGGTGCTTGGGCCCTGCACCCCATGGGAGACCAGGAAAAGCACCTGGCTCCTGGCTCCTGCCATCGGATCAGCGCGGTGCGCCGGCCGCGGCGGCCATTGGAGGGTGAACCAACGGCAAAGGAAGACCTTTCTCTCTGTCTCTCTCTCTCACCACTGTCCACTCTGCCTGTCAAAAAAAAAAAAAAAAATCCTATTCCTCAGGATGGGCGCTGTGGTGCAGCAAGTTAAGGCCACATCAAGTGCCAGTTCGAGTCCTGGCCCCTCCATTCCCAATCCAACTTCCTGGTAACGTACCTGGGAAGGCAGCAGAAGATGGCCACGTACTTGGACTCCTGCCCATCCACGTGGGAAACCTGGATGGAGTTCCTGACTCCTGGCTTTAGCCTGGCCTGGTCCGGCTGTCACAGGCATTTGGAGAGTGAACCAGTGGACTGAAGATCCCCCTCTTTCTCTGTGTGTATGTCTTTTTCTCTGTTAATCTGCCTTTTAAATAAATCATTTTTCAAATTATCCTACTCATCTTTCAAGTTCAAAATCAGGTTTCCATTCTTACACAAAGCTTGCCCTGACCATTCTAGCACCCGCTGAATTCCTACAACCTGTAACCTCTATACATTCGGCATATCAGAGACTGTTAACCTTGGAAGGGCCCCCGACATCACTGGCTCTACCAGAGTCTAAGCAAGCTGTATAGTTACATTTTCCAAACTCGGCATTCAAGTACCAGCCTCAGAATTCATGCTACAGCCACATATTGTCTATGATGTTATTATTAATTAACTTACTGCTTAAAATTTTATTTATTTTCATTTTGTTTGAAAGGCAGACAGATAGAGATCTTCCACCGCCTGGTTCATTCCCCAACTGCCCACAACAGCTGGGGCCGAGCACATTCTGAAGTCAAGAGCCCAGAACTTCATCTGGGTCTCCCACGTGGTGGCACGCACTCAGGAACTGGAGCCATCGCCTACTGCCTCCAGAGATGCTCACTAGCGGGACGCTGGGTCAGCAGTACTCAGCCCAGGCGCTGGAATACGGGGTGTGGTATCCCAAGCCGCGACTTAGCCACTGCTCCAAACACCTGCCCCGACTTACAGTTTTTTACTCTAGTACGTTTATTTATCATTTTTATTTTTAAGGATTTATTTATTTGAGAGGCAGAGTTGGAGAGAGGTCTTCCATCCACTGGTTCACTCCCTAAATGGCTGCAATGGCTGGATTTGGGCTGATGCCAATCCAGGATCCAGGAGCTTCTTCCAAGTCTCTCACTTGAGTGCAGGGGCCCAAGCACCTGGGCCATCTTCCACTGCTTTCCCAGGCCATAGCAGGGAGCTGGATTGGAAGTGGAGCAGCTGGGACTCGCACTGGCGCCCATGTCGGATGCTGGTGTTACAGACTGAGGCTTAACCTACTACGGCACAGTGCCGGTCCCACATTTATTATTTTTAAAAAGACTTTATAAGGGGGCTGGTGCTGTGCCGTAGTAGGCTAAGCCTCCACCTGTGGTGCCGGCATCCCATATGGGTGTGGGTTCAGGTCCTGGCTGCTCCTCTTATGATCCAGCTCCCTGCTATGGCCTGGGAAAGCAGTGGAAGATGGCCCAGTACTTAGGCCACTGCATCTGCATGGGAGACTCAGAAGAAGCTCCTGGCTCCTGGCTTCAGCCTGGCCCACCCAACTGTTTTGGCTATTTGGGGAGTGAATCAGTGATCTCTGGCTGGCTGGCTGGCTCTCTCTCTCTCGCTCTCTCTTTCCTTCTCTCTCTGTACTTCAGCTTTTCAAGTAAATAAATAAAGCTAAAAGAAAGAGAGAGAGAGGGAGGAAGGAAGGAAGGAAGGAGGGAGGGAGGGAGGGAGGGAGGGAAGGAAGGAAGAAAAGTGACACTTTTACAGTAGCTTGAAGTAACCTCACACTGTAACCAAAACAAAGGAACTTAAGTGACATGCAGTAATATGGAACATTCTTGCAATATAATATTATATACAGTAGTAAGTCAAAAAAAGTTATATAAAGCCTATTACTATTTTTTACAGGTTTCTTTATTTACTTGAGAGGCAGAGTTACAGAGAGAGGTCTTCCATTATCTGGTTCACTCCCTAAATGGCCACAACAGTTGAATGTAGGCCGATCCCAAGCCAGGAGCCAGGAGCTTCTTCCAGGTCTCCCATGCAGATGCAGTGGCCTAAGTACTTGGGCTGTTTCCACTGCTTTCCCAGGCCATCAGCAGGGATCTGGATCAGAAGTGGAGCACTTAGGACTCAAATCGGCAGCCATATGGGATGCCAGCGCTGCAGGGGGATGCCTAACCTACTACACCACAGCACCAGCCCCATGCTTGTTACTATTTCTAATAAAATTAAATTTTAAAATACCTTTTAGGAATAAATAAAGCTTTTGAAAAATAAAGTAAGGGGGGCCGGTGCTGTGGCTCAGCGGGTTAACACCTTGGCCCGAAGTGCTGGCATCTTATATGGGCGCCGGTTCTAATCCTGGTTGCTCCTCTTCCGATCCAGCTCCCTGCTGATGGCCTGGGAAAGCAGCAGAAGATGGCCCAGGTCCTTGGGCCCCTGCACCCACATGGGAGACCTGGAAGAAGCTCCTTGCTCCAGGTTTCGGATCAGCGCAGCTCCAGCCATTGCAGCCATCTGGGGAGTGAACCATCGGATGGAAGACCTCTCTCTCTCTCTCTCTCTCTCTCTCTCTCTCTCTGCCTCTCCTCTCTGTGTAACTTTGACTTTCAAATAAATTAATTTAAAAAACGAAAAGAAAAAGAAAGCAAGAAAGTATTGCATATGGGATTCAGGATGTCAAGTGCCCTGGGCTGGAGGCTGGAACCAGGATGAAGGGACCGTTTGGCTGGTTGTGAGTTATTGCCAAGGCCTGAGATTTTGTTTTGGGTGATAAATTCATGAGATGCTTATAATATTTTTAAAAGCAACTAATAAAGAAACTAAGTATATAAGAAAGTACTCCATGCAAGAGCAAATGATGACAGTGTAAACCAAGGAATATGATAAATTCAGTTCTGTGAACCCAGGTTCTAATGGAAAAAGAAAGAAAGGAAGCTAACTGACAAGGAAGTAACTTTCTCACTCTGGGGTTCTGTGCGATTTAACGTCCTGTCAATGCACCATCAAAGATCATCGGACATTCGAACAGGGGGCCTGGTCCCTTCCCTTGGATAAACAGCCCTAAAACCTCTCTGCCCTAGGCTGCCTGCTGGAGGTCCAGTGAGGAACTGGCAGCTCTGGGAGACAGTTGCCTCGCCTGGTCCTTTTGTGGGGAGACTTTGCCCTGCCGGACACAGCTCAGCCTCCCTGCGATGCATCTTGCTCTCCTCTTGGCGCCTGGCACGGGCTTGGGCACCCAGGAACCCAGAATTTGCATATTGATTGCTTCCCGATGGAGCCTCCTGCCCTGGGGCTGGAGCCTCACTAGGGAAGACAAAAGGGTTCCTGATTATCTGCTGGGACACAGCCTGGTGCCAAGTGTGAGCCCTGATTTCTTTCTAGGAGAAAATCAGCATTTTCCAAAAAAAAAAAATCTTTAAGCAATTTTCTGATAAGCTTTTAATGGGATGCAGATTTCCTCTTCGAAGTAAGTCTCCCAGCTATTTTACCAAGGGTAGGAGTTTAATTAATTTTATCCAGACATTATTTTTTTTAACAATGATTTTTAAACAATGATTCTAACCCCTCTTCTTCCCTCTAAATGTGTCCACCAAGAGGGCACCTCGAGTTGGCCCCCTCCAGGTCTCTTCCACTTGCAGCAAGGCTGAAATAAAATTTGAACATGTGCTCATAAATAAATCGTCTAAAAAGCTTTTTTATCATGTGTGTGTGTGTGTGTGTGTGTTTTCCTGTAACACAACTGAATACTTGAGGGTGGGCTAGGATTTCTTAGCCATATTTTTACTAACCCACAGCTGGCATTAACTGAGACTCCTTAGCCAAAAATTCTTGACCTGACCCTGCGGTGGCCCCCCTTGGCTCTGATGAGTCACCTCTACCCCCACAGAATCCATGGCTTTGGGAGGCCTGGGAGGGGGAAGGGGAGCCAGTAGAGGCCTGAGAGCATCTTCAGAAATCCTCACGGAACCCCAGCATTAGGGACGAGGCCACCTCCACCCCCTCTCCAGTGTGTGCAGGCCAGAACTGATGGTCCCTGGGGTGAGGGAGAAGACCCTTTGGGCAGAAGCTGACTCTGGGACCCCTGCCCTCTTTTGAGGGGTAGAGGCTGGGGAGGAGCAGTGGACACTGGTGCCCCAGGTTGCTGCTTGGCAGACTTTAGTCCCTGGACCTGGCCCCCATCCAGATGGGAAATGAGGGCCCCTCCATTGGACACGGGCTGTCTCTAGGCCCAGCTGACTCCCAGCTGCTCGCTCAGCCCCTCCCCTGTGGGCTGTCATAAGGGGGCCAGGCAGGGCTCACCAAAGTGGACCTGGGGAGCACACAATGTTCTGGGTCCACCTTGGGGATGTCAGCTTGGCCCCAGCATAATCTTCATAATCTTTTTCATAATTTATTAGTTCCGAATGTAAGTGTTGATGATAGAAAACACAGAAACTATCAGGAAATATAAAAACTAACTGTGGGGGCCGGTGCTGTGGTGTAGTGGCTTAAGCCTCTGCCCGCGGTGCTAGCATCCCCCACCTTTTTTTTTTTTTTTGACAGGTAGAGTGGACAGTGAGAGACAGAGAGAAAGGTCTTCCTTTGCCGTTGGTTCACCCTCCAATGGCCACTGATGCATTGCGCTGATCCGATGGCAGGAGCCAGGTGCTTCTCCTGGTCTCCCATGGGGTGCAGGGCCCAAGGACTTGGGCCATCCTCCACTGCACTCCCTGGCCACAGCAGAGAGCTGGCCTGGAAGAGGGGCAACTGGGACAGAGTCTGGCGCCCCGACTGGGACTAGAACCTGGTGTGCCGGCGCCGCAAGGTGGAGGATTAGCCTAGTGAGCCGCGGCGCCGGCCCACTAGCATCCCTTATGGGCACAGGTTCCAGTCCCGACTGGTGCATTTCCCCTCTAGCTCCCTGCTAGTGCGCCTGGGAAAGCAGTGGAAAATGGGCCCAGGTACTTGGGCCTCTGCACCCACGTGGGACACCCAGAAAAAGCTCCTGGCTCCTGGCTTTGGATCAGCCCAGCTCCAGCCATTATGGCCATTTGGGGAGTGAACCAGTGTCGGGGACCAACAGCATGTGACCTCTTAGTGGAAAGACAGGGCTAGACAGCCCAGACCAGATAGTACTGATAACGCAACCTTGTGTGACCTCATGCCTTAAGACCTTGTAACCTTTCCCCTACTTGCACAAGCATTGCAGCTACAAGATAAGCCCCTCCTTCCCCCGCCCGACACTCTGCCTTTCTGATATATAAGTGTGTGGTTGAAAAATAAAGCCGCAGCTTGATCAGCCATCTTGTCTTGCTGCCATCTTTGTGTCTCCTGTCCCTTTCATTTCTCCTTCTAGGTGCTCCGCCCCAGTTGCTGTCCCGCGGGACGGGACAAACCAGCAGATGGAAGACCTGTGTGTGTGTGTGTGTCTCCCTCTCTCTGTGTAATTCTTTCAAATAATTAAATCTTAAAAACAAAAACAAAAAACACCATGAGTTGTCTTACTATCTCTCTATCATTTTTTTTAAGATTTACTTTATTTATTTAAAAGGCAGTGACAGAGAGAGGTCTTCCATCCACTGGTTCACTCCCCAGATGGCCACAATGGTTGGAGCTGTGCCAATCCGAAGCCAGGAACCAGGAGCTTCTTCCAGGTCTCCCACACAGGTGCAGGGGCCCCAAGGACTTGGGCCATCCTCCACTGCTTTCCCAGGCCATAGCAGAGAGCTGGGTTGGAAGAGGAGCAACTGGGACTGGAACCAACGCCCAAATGGGATGCTGGTGCTTCAGGCCAGGGCATTAACCCACTGTGCCACAGCGCCGGCCCCTATCTTACCATCTTACCATCCACCAACAACATTTCCTGTCTGTATTCCTGGTTTTTTTCTTTTCTCTTAATCTATAGACTCATTTTTGCTCCACAAATGGGATCATTCTGTGCCTAGTGCTTTTCATCCTATGTTTTCTTATTGTCTCCTGAAATTGTTCCTGTGTGATTCAGCTCTTTGAGAATCTGGTTTTCAGTGGGTATGAGTTACCATTAAGTCCAGAAGCTTAGAGCTGGCTGTGGTGCCAGCATCCCAGTGGCTCCACTTCTGGTCCGGCTCCCTGCTAACCAACGTGCCTGGAAAAGCAGCAGCAGCAGATGGTCCCAGTGCTTGGGCCTCTGCCACCCAGGTGGCAGATTCTACATGGAGTTATGGGCTTGTAGCTTTGGCCTGCCAGGGCGTTGTAGCCATCTGGGGAGTGAACCAGTGGGTGGAAGATCTCTCTCTCTCCCTTTCTCTCTGTACCTCTGCCTTTCACATAAATAAATCTTAAAAAAAAAAAAAAAAAAAAAAAAAGCAGCAGCAGCAGTAGCGGCAGCCCACAAGCCCCCCTCTCCCTCAACCACAAGTCCTCTCCCATCTTCCAGGGCTCCTCGGGTGCCTCTGTAGGACTGGTCTTCCTTCCCCGACTGCAGATGGCAAAGCTGAAGCCCGAAGTCAGGCCTCAGGGCTCGGGTGCCAGCCCTCCTTCCTCCATGCGAGGGCTCCTGGTGCCTGAGCCAAGTCCTCTTGCTCTTGGTTTCCCACGCCTGCAGGTTTCAGACTGATGCAGCCTCTGGCTCTTCCAATCCAAGCACTGCCTAGCGCCTCCCCCCACCCCGCCCCTTCCCCAATCCCTGTCCCTCTCCCAGGCACCTCTGGTGGTCTGAACATGCTCCCCTCTGGGGTGCTGGGAGGTGGGGGAGCCACTCCTCATTTTCAAACCTCTCCTAATTGATTTCCCTCTGATGAGGTGCCGTAATCCTTTCTGGCTGCCCTAACGGCTTCTCCAGTTTCCTCCAACAGCCTCTCCATATTCCTTGTTGCCGCCTCCCACGTGCTCCTGGGGCTGAAAAGATCTTTCTGGATTTTAGTCTTGGCAGCCATCACCCACGAGGGCCTTGTGCCCCGCGTGTGCATCAGGAGCCCTGACACAGGCTGGTGCAGGTACACACCCCCTCCTTGGGGCAGAGTTTCCCACATTCTGCCTGGCCCGCTCTGTTCAAACCAGGTTATGGGGAATGGCAGCTTTAGGGACGAATGTAAGACATCTTCCCGAGGCAAGGCCTTTCTTGCCAGACCCATGCAGGGCTGTGGGGCGTGGTGGGGAGGTTGGAGGCCCACTGTCAGTTCTCTGCTCGGTCTGGCATGGCTGTGGCACACAAGCAACCCTGACCCTGTGGGTAGGGCTGCCTTCCCCCCACGACCCTGAGACCCTCCCCTGCCTCTTCACTGCCCAGGAAGAACGCCATGGAGGCCAGAGGGACTGCGGCCCAGGTCTCTGGGTACAGACCCTCCGGAGCCTAGCAGGATCAGAACCCAAGCCCCCCAACCATCTCTCTCAGTCCCCTTGCATGCAGCCAGTGTTGGGGGCGGGCGGGAGGAGGCTGGCTGGGTGCAGTGCAGTGTTCATGGGGACTGGGGGGCAGGGAGTCCATTCAAATTGACAAAAATAGAACATCAGCCTCATATCATTTTTCTCAAAACAAGATTTATTGAAGTTCTGTCGGTGAAAATCGCTGCTGTGTGGAACGCCTAACTTATAGATTAGATTACTCAGTCGTGCCTTACTACATTTTTCATTAGAAAAATATTGGCTGGGAGAGTTTGACCTCATAATCTCTGCATTTTAAACAATAACCAGAGGAAAACCAAATAGAAGGCACAAGTTAACGGGTTCCCCCTCCCCCAGCACTTCCCCCTGGGAGAGATCGGAGCGAGGGCCGGGAAGGGAGCAGGAGTGGAATCTGCTGCGTGAGCAATTCCCTACCTCCCGCCCACTCCCCAGGGGCTGCGGGAGGCAGTAGCTGCACTGAGTGTGCGGGGCTCAGGCACGGGAGGTGGCACAGAGCGGTGCGGAGCCCCAGCCCAAGGTGGAAGAGGGTAGAGCCTCGTGGGGAGAAGAGGGCCCTCTCTCTGCCGCAGCAGGCACCCAGAGGAGCACGCCGAAGCATCAGCTTGTATACCCCGAATATAGTCCATCTTTATTGACAATTATATACATTTTGAAGCACACCCAGAAGAATCCAGAATCCCAAGGCAACCCTGTAGACCCCATAGGAGAGTGCCAGAGCAGAGAAGACAGGGCACAGCCACGGCTGCACCCCCGCCTGGGGCAGGGAAGTCTCCCTTCCTGGGAATTTTCTGGAAGAGGGAGTGACTCCAAGGGCAGGCCTCAGCCACAGCTCCAGCCGTGGGGGCAAAGGCTCCTAAGGGACCCTAGGCCTGAAACCCGCAGGCTGAGGGCCATCCTGGGATGCCGGCTGCCTGCAGAGAGGGGCAGAGAGGGCCTTCCTGGCGCAAACGGATCCCAGCCACTTTACGACTGCTGATCTGATTCCTCCGAGAGTGGCACCCCCACCCCCGTCCGGGTCTCGGTTTCTACTTTCTGAGGCTTCGGTGATTTCCAAGTTCTGACACAGTCATTAGTTACAAAGAGCAATTATTTTTTTTTTGTCATTAAGTCATTTTTTAAATGGCTCCAGGCGACATCACAGAACAAAGAAACAAAATATCCATGAAAAGACTTAATCACAAATTACTAATTATTTCGCCCCCCTCTTCCCTCCCCAAATCGTGAAATCCGAGCCCCATGAAAAGGGAGAAGGTCTCCCCGTCCATGAGCTCGCCATGGCTCTTAGGCACCTAATCCATCATGGGGGGCGCG